GTGTGTGTGTATATATATATATATGTCACTGATAGTTGATCAAAAATATATAAAGACATAACAAATGCACCAGCGAGCGAGATCGACTGTCGACAATGAGCGTACAGTCACGTGCTCACGAAATCGGTCAAACATACACAGGACGTCGCGATTCGTGGATAGCACGTTGACGAAGGAACGTGAAACACGGTCAACACGGATGACAACATACATGCATGAAGAAGACGGATGGGTTGAACAGGCAGGCAAGATAGACCAGCATGGTTGATGGTGATAAGATGAAACTAACCTGAATCGCGCGACCGAGTTGCCACGTACCTGTCCCGACGAGTACGACCTGGACGACAAACATCGTCGAATTTGCGGTACGGAGTGTCATGAGGAAAGCTCATGTTAATACGCAACGGAAATATCGCCGTCGTAGCGACGCGACGCTATTTACACTGCGTCCCCGCGCGGCGGAAACGCACGCGGGCGACCACCGTTATCGTTGTCACTGTTGTCGTGGTTGGCCAGTGCCGTTTTTGCGTGAAAAGGATACTTAGTATCAGCATTTTGGTCTGTGGATCGAACGCCAACACCTCACCCTCTATTTCCTTCTCATGGCAGGTTTTACAGAGCACCGTGCTGCCGATGCTAAACCAGTCGCTGGCTCCGGCCATTTTTCACTGCCGACAGGACTCGCGAGCGACGCGCCGTCCCTCTCGCGGCTACGTGCGTCGTTGTACATATAACGTCATCTTGCGAGCGATCTTTCTGATTTTTCCTAGATACTTATTATTGTTCTCGAGAGAGGACGCCACATGTCAGATGTCTTCGTTAAAGACTAGAAGGGCGTTCGCTCTTTGCAGCATTCAGAGGATGCAGCAAAATGTTCTGCGATTTAAAAAAGGTTTGTCTTTTATTCTTGCGCTCTCTGAGCTGGTGCAAACGATGAAGTAAATTGAAGTGAAACAAATATATATTGGCTGCGTTCAATGGAACGTTATTTATTTTGTTGGAAGTTTTCTTTTATTATTAGATTAGGTAAAAATATATATATCTAATCTGAATCAGAGAGAGAGGGAAAGGAGAGGGGGGGGGGAGAGAGAGAGAGAGAGAGAGAGAGAGAGAGAGAGAGAATTACGAATAATTCGAATAATATGGTGTAGTTAATTATTGTACATTTATATCCTATGTAAAATTTCTTTTAATTATATAGAAATTCGCACCAATATCCGCGCTGTATATATACTCTTATTGTCCATGTATTATATTGTATTTTTTAATTTTGAGAGCCCGATTAATATTTATATTTTTATCTAATCTGATTTATAAATAAGATCGAGCCCCGGTTAAAAACTGTTAAAAGTCAACTGTGAATTGACTTTTAAAATTGGGCCTTAGTAATCATTTTGAAGCCATTTTGATGTTATTTTAATATTATGAGTATGATTAACGTGATGTTATAAATGCTTTGAAGCATTCTTTAATTGATCAGTTTGTAAAATTCTTTCTTTTGATTGATCAATCAAATATTTCAAAATATTTATGA